AACCATTAGCATTTCTTGCTTTTTAATGCCTCTCACTATATATCATTGAATTTATTATACGGATTAGGAAAGGAATCACTGCAACTTCAAAGGTATGAACAGATAACACGTGAGCCTTAGATCTTTACTGTATCTCGGCCCTGTTCAACAGTGAATGTCTGTTTAAGATGTGTGAAGGAAAAAAGAGAGTCAAGTGAACTTGTGAATCAGGTGGAGAATATCTCTGGCAAAGCCCTGCTGCAAAAAAGTCATTGAACACCGCGCTGCTTCCTGTGTCCAGATCTAAACACACTGGGTTCTTCCAGCAATAACACATTAAAACTGCATCACATTCAACCATGGAATGTTCCTTGGGCCAGAAATGTTTCTTTGCTCTTATGACGACTGCAGCTCACCATAAGCAAAGTGACCTTGGGATTCATGCAGTACATGTCTGTACTGTACAGTACTATTTCTGCTGAGAAAATGCAACAAATTCTATTGCATTGGTCCAAATGCCTATTTGTGGAGTTTGGAATGCTTTTCAGGACAGATGACCATTTAGTTTAAGGTGCAATGTAATCCCCGTTGATTTCTGACAAGTAGATACAGTACACATGCACCCCAGGTTATCTGCATGCTCTATGAGTTATTGTCATTTAGCTGATCACGTGTGTATTAATTCAACTAATGTATTCCGAGGGAGGATGAGGATGAATTAAAGTATTATTTGTTTTGTTGCATCTCACCTTTTCTTTTGTTTTCATCAAATTATCTAAGGAGCAACAAGGAGATGCAAAGCAAGCTAATTAGCACTCCCCTTGGTGGTGTTTATGGCCAGGTATCAGAGATGAAGAGACAGTCAGATGTAGTGCATCACAGTAAAAAAGCACAAACTGATTGGCTGATCTGAGATAAAACCCATCACAGCCTTGGGACTTCTTCAGAAAGAACAGTGAAACACAAACCAGATGACACAAGTGGATACTGTGTGCTGGTGCATTTAAAACCAAGAGAAGGGTTCCCAAAGGATTGTGGGAGTGTGGAACAAGGTAACCAATCAGCAGTTAAGCTGATATATCAGATTCTTTCAGATAATGGCTGAAATGAGTTTGGAAATCTCATTCAGTACAAGAGGAACTATTTTGCACAAAGGGTGGTATGTTTGGATCACATTGCTGAAGTTGATATCTTGGCTTTTTCCTGAGTGGGTGACATCTTTGGCTAAATTAGCTACTAGCAACCAAAACAAGCAGAATGGTCTCCTCTCGGTTGTAAATGTTTCTCGTGGCACCAGGATCACTACAGCTGTTTCTAGGGGTATCATGACCTCCTGTCGCCAGGTCCACACAGATGAGAACACAACACTAACATCAAAAAGACCAAAGCAAATCCAAGCAGATGCCTTAAGGCTGCTTACTGTATATACCATCTCTTCCATTTTGGGTTCTTGTATTTAGCCATCAGCACAGGAAGGAACCAACCAAACCTCTCCACCAAACTCTGTCTTTACTCAAATCCTTGCATTTTCCTCATTATTTGCAGTCTGCTTTTGAAACCGTGGTCACAGAAAGGGACTAGACATGTGTGCAACCAGAAACACCAGTTGCACAAGAAAAAACAATCTTGATTTTCTGAACCACAAGAACCCAGCCTGTGTGGAAATTTTATGACAGTATTACAATACAGGTGGTTTATTTAATTATACCACAAAATATGTGACACCTTTTCAGAAGCTGATAGCATTATTGCAATAGTGTCTTAATTAGAAGTATTTAAAGTATCTTTGTGCCCCTGCTCTTTATCGAGCTCTCAAGTGGTGTCACAGAATTTCTTCACACTGTTTGTAATTTTCTGTGCACATCAGCAACATCCCCTGGGAATCTCTGTTTAGCTATTCTATCTTATATGTTTCTTATTCCCAGTACTTCTCTCAGACAGCTTCAAAGGCAGAGAGAAGCCTGGAAGGGTTTTAACTCCAAAGTCACTGGCTACAGTACAATGTTTTGTACTTGGAAAAAAGGAGATCATTGCTGTAATAAATGAAAATCTTGTTATTTGAGCATTTGTTATTTGAAATCAAATGGTGACTGCCTTTCCTGAATTAACTATCATCTGACCATAGATCAACATCTGCCTTTGTTAGCACAATGCTGTTTTCCTCAGTCTACCTTCCTGGGCTTCAGGTATGATTAAGTTTTCAAACTGGCTTGTCTCCGAATTGAGGATAGGCATGCTATTTTTGTGATTAGAACATCTTTAAAGTAAACAACTTCTGCTTGTCTTGCTGGGAAACATCTGTGCTTCAGACATTGTCATCTCCACCCCTTTCACTGAAATAGAGCGATATAGAAATAGAGTGTTGAAGATATCTTCCCCAATATGTGTGTTTGCATTCGCCTTTAGAAAGCAATGGGGTCACATCACCTGAGTTTCACAGTGCACAGGAGCAAATAAGCAAACTAGCAGCTAGCCATGTTCTTTTTCATGGTTGATACATTGAAGTAATGGCATTATATTGCCTTCCTCACTTGCCTGGAGGATTTTGCAAGTTCTACGTTCTGCTTCAAGCTGGTTTTCTGTGTTGGAAATGTCATGTCTTATCCACTAGATGGCAGCCCACATCTACATTTTCTTCCTGCTGATGTTCCTGTTCTTAATGTATAAATGGAACAAAGAAAACGCAAGAAACATGCCTATATCCGCTCCAGGGCTAGACTGGCTGCAACAGAAACCAATGACAAAACATGCTACTGCCCTTCTGAACCGAATTCCATAACATGGGTTGTCACTTCTGCCATAATACATGGCGTTGTCCTTATCATTTGATCTGTGTCCTGTATTGCTGCCATTGTTATATTGACACTATCTTCATCTGGTCTAAATTACTCCATAAGTGGTTAACACTTATTCGTACGAGACATCTTTGATGTCTCCTGGATACACCCAGAAAAAAAAATGCTCAATCACAGCTCATTTGAAAACAACTCAAGTCAGCCATAAGCCCAAATCTTTTAATTTTTTAAGGATGCATTATGTATCACACCAGGGTATTACTGAATCCTGCTGGATATTCAAAGCAGTTTGTTGCATATTTACAGACTCAATGTGGAAATTCATATTGGAACCATACTGTATTCCAGTGTTGAAAAGGGGATTGAATTCTGCATGAAAAAAGGTGTAATACCATTCATTCACTGTATGCACAAGAGCCAAAAACATTCACAACTGCAAGTCTCAGCTTGAAGTTAACAGAAAATGAAACTTGATTTAAAATGCCAAAACACCCACATCATTTTGTTTTGTAGTATGTATGAAAACAAGAAACAACATCACAAGAATACTTCACAAAGTAAATAAAATATGAAGAACTGCTTGTTTCTGAACTCCAGTATTAGACTTGAATTTGTATGTTACAGTATAATGCTTGGTATTGAATCTTTATATGAAGCCTATTAGTAGGAGGACAGTTGCTTATCATAGTACACTACAACAGTTTCTGCTGACATCTGGAAGTTAATAAGGGTGTCAGAGTATTAGACCACATGCGGCTGCTGGGAGAAATACAATTGTCAACTCACCAGTTTCCATTTCTTTCAACACACACAGCCAGGCACTCTATATAAAAACCTAAGGAAAGTTATGCAGCAGGAAGTCAGGTTGACCGGCAACTGACACTTTGAAGACAGGCAGATATAAAAAAGAAAAAGAAGAATGGAAAAACAAGAAAATAGATGCTCTGTCAGCTGCTTTCTCTGCCCTCCTCTTTTAAACTTAATGAATGGCACACAGCTCTTGGACACCAGATAGCAAACCTAGACTTCATTATTTGAAGTCTTTGGTACTTGTCAAACCAAATGTGGTTTCCAGCTGAAATACATGAGAAAAGGTTACACCCTGCACTGTGCTATAAATACTATAGACCCATTCTGCAATGGCACCTAGAGAGTGCTGGTGGCGAAGACAGGACAGGCTGCTGAAAGCCGCATAATGTAAAATGCAACTTGGCTTTTAAGTAGGTGTAAATGAGCTGCCTTTTATCACATTACTGAATATAATACACAGCATAAACATGATTCAAAAAATGAATACAGGAATGCACAGTATTTAATAAAGTGGGTGGATATGAGCTGGTTTTAATGCAGTAATGAATATAATATGGAAGGAAAAACTACTTATTCAAAAATGAAGGCAGGACTCTGCATTAAAAATCCAGTGTTGTGAAATTTCTGCGCGCTGATGATAATGTTTTCCGGAGAATGGAGCTGTTATTTTTATTACTTTAGCCCATTTTATAGGCTAAACGGGAGGATATGACCATGAGCGCAGTTGATAACCTTGGAAAGAACAAGGGGGGCATTGTTCTGTAGAAAGTATGGCAAACGAGATAACAGCCAACTCAGCTTTGGCATTCTTTGAAATAAGAAAGGTAATTTACAGAATGAAAATGTAAAAAGCTGAGAAGTGGAGGCCTCTTCAAAGCAATTAAAATACACACAAATTTTATTCTTTATTCTTTCTTATTATATTCTATTTGTACAGTAATAAACTACACTTCCTTGTCTACTCATTCCGTGGAATGACTGTGAGAGCATGGACTAACCTACTTAGCCATGTCTTTGAAGCTGATACCCTGCTTTCTTTCAAAGAAACAGCTGGATGGGACCCTTGGATCAGTTAACTGCTGACCAAACTGGCTGGATGGGACTCCTGTTTGTGACCTGTCTTCTGCTCTTAAATAATCTCGAGCTGCCCCACACTTCAACGCCGAGCTGCTGCACAAGCTGTATGTTTTCACTGTTCTCATTCAGGCACAGAGGGACAGCTGAACTGCACAATGCCTTCCTTCTCTTTGGCAGCGATAAGCAGTGAACAATGGCCTTTTTTAAAAAAAAAAACCCAGCCGCTTAGACGCTGCGTAGCACAGTAAAATAATACATCACTCTCCCTCACCGCCCCAGCGCATTTGCCATTCATTGAAATTGAAAGCACGCTCACACACACACATATGCAAACACGCACACTCCTACTTCCACTCAGAGGCTCCCACGGCCACAGACAAGTGCCCTCCGGTCCTGGCACAGTGACTCAAGAGGAATGGAAAGTCCTGTCTTGTGATCGTACCACTTTGACCACAGGAAGGTTTCTGCAGTCTTGACATGAGCTGGCAGATGTGCTGCCCTATGTAGTGTCAATTCATCTACTGTACACGCGAAGTTATTCGTCATGCTAGGGCTTTTGAGAAACTGTTTTTTCTTCCAAGTTTCATTCTCTCCCGCTCTGTGACTGTGTTCAAGAAAGGCAGTAGCTGATTACCAGAATATCAGGCTTGGAGCCCAACAGCTGCCAGCATCTATCATATTCTTCACAGGCTCTCGGCCACTTCCTGAACGCACTGCTGAAAAGCCGACAGATAAGCTTGCAACGAAAGGTAGGGCACGATCATAAATTCTCTGCTCACTGCGTTTGTTGCTTTTTATTTGAAAAAGGGTGAGAAGAAAGCTGCTGTAACTACAATCTGGTAATGTAATAAGATTTATCCTGTCATTTTCTAGGTCTTTAATATTTTCTAGGTCTTTTTAATGGAATTCTGAGCATAATCAAAAATATTGTATATAACATATATACTGTAACTATTATAGAACTGACAAAGAGATGTAAAAGGGGAATGACACCAAATGTTAATCCCAAGCAGCAAGTTTTCCTGCGTCTCTCATGAGGATTTTGTAGTAACACTTTTTTTAGATGAGGTAAGAGCGATATATATATATACTCAGCACAGAGACTGGAGGCACCTGTTCTTTGACAGAAAACCTTTTACCTTGTAAATGTAGTTTCCGGATGCATTATAAACGTAAAAAGAGTAGAGCTTTTTGTCTCTGACCACCTTTGTGTATTTTGTTCCTGAAATTTCATTTCCCTGCGACAAAGACGTCTGTTTAAGTTAATGGTGCTTTGCTTTTGTCACCATTTGGGCTCCAGGTGGGAGATGTGTGTTAATCTTGTGTTCTTTGTGTGTTCTTTGGCGGTTCAGTTGCGAGAAAACAAAAGTCATTACCCTACTCTGCAGAACGCAGAGTACATGGGAAATACCAGCCATAGAGAAGGAAGTGGGCAACTCATTCTGCATAGTATTGAGCCCAGCTATGAGTGCTCTTGTGTCCTTATGATTTAAATGGATATGTTATGGCAAGTACTTTCACATCTCAACCTGTTTTACCTGTTTCTGAAAGCAGGAAAGCTGTGAGAAGATCAAACAGATTATAAGTATAATTGGATCATGTAGGTAAGGAGACTAACAGTAGACACTATGTTTTTCCACACAACAAGGACCTAAATATCTCAGGTTCCAATGCAATTCTCTACTGCCTTAGATGTGACATAATGAAATTATTATGTGATTTTGATACAAAGCCTTGTACAAGCTGGACTGGTAAAGGTAATCATTTGTATATATTTTCCATAAGGGTGTTTGTATTATTATAATGTGAGAGAATATTCAATGATAAATGATTATATGTGGTTGTCTGTCACAATTCTGGACATGTATGAGATGAGGAAGTTCAAGAGAGTTTATAGGGTTTAGCTGTTTGGGCCTGTTTTAAGAAAGAGAACCGATGTCTCAGCTCCTCTCAAAGCCTATTGTTATTTTTGTAGTTCATTAAATGCATAAATATTATGCTTCTAATAAAAAAAAACATTGGATAACAATGACTTGAATGTTTGGCACTTCAATGTAATTGTGCAACACTCATGATTCAATCAAACCTGTCTTAAAAGAAAATACCCTCAATCTTTCCACATGTTTTGACAGCTTCTGGTTGAAAAATATACCGAACACTTTCCCACAAGACACTGCCATGTGCTTCCTAGCAACTCTTCTAAAGCTCCTCTGAATCTCCATTGAACCAGCGTGAGACTTACATTTATTCGGCACATGATTCATTTCTTAATTCACAGTCAGGCAGCCTGGCTGTCAAATTTCTGTTGCATAGCAATCAAACCTGCAGATACCAAATTGTGCCGTCTGCTGACTTGGTTTTCCTGCCACACACGGTTTGGTTAGCCGTAACACCTGTGCCCTTTCCGCTACTGCAAATTGCTAATGCGCCCTGCCAGTAGCACAGCCTGCCTTTTAATTACCCCAACAGGGGGTTGAGCAGGATGAAAGACTTTATACAGTAGTACCCACAAAGGTCCACTGAGGTTCATATGGTGCTGGTATAGAAAGTGTGGGCCGCCAAGCCCATTAAACCAATAAACCTCATGCGGTAAGTTAAAAGATATACTGTACAATAGTACAGATAATTAGGTGACTATTGCTGATATACTGTACGGTGGCAGTCTGTTATTGCAAACTTAAGAACTTTATTTTCATTTCCCCTACAAAACAGTACACACCCAGACTGTCACATTACCAAAGAAAATTGCAAATGTAGAAACCCAATCTGTTTTGGGGGCTGGCTTTTCTGGTGAGATCCAATGAGATCTGTGAAACAAACCCATGTATTCTGTAAAAATACACCTTTTGGGCAGCTGATATTGGGGCACCAGAAAGGGTTTCTCTCATGTACAATTGTTCCCACCAATATTATGTAAAGTGGCACCTTGGTGGTTGTGTTGTTTTTTTCTCCCCGTCATGAACAGTATCAGTTCTCAAGTCAATTAATTGCTCACAACGGCAGGATAATTACTTTGGCACTAACTCCTTAACAAGAAGGGTTTAAGAGAGGAGGCAGTCAAGAATCAGGTCATTAACCCAGAGTGCTTTTTTCAAGGGCTGTGGGGAGTTTCTCAGCTGGAGATGGTGTGAAAGACATTGTGTAGGCAATTTTCTCTCAGTTTTAGTCATCCGGTATGTACTGCATTATACAGTACAGTCATTTAATCATTTCTACAGCCTTAACAAATGTATCTCTTGATTCCCTGGTACAACCTAGTATCCTATTGAAACCTGTTGTCTAGCCTACAGTATACGGTATGTATGGATGAACAAAGATTTCAGCCCAAGGGACCTTAAAACTCTTTACAGACAGGAATGGACTCACTCAATCTGGAATTAAAGAAAAGAGAAGGAGAAACGACTCTTCTGAAGAGGATGTGGATTCTCGAGTGAGAGAAACTCTGGAGGTGTTTGTGCTGTTATCAAGTGTCTTGCGTGATCCCAGTCCCAGTTAATCGTTTTAACAGTTTCAGCCCATGCTTGCTTCCAATGCTTTGGAGCTCGCCAGTAGAAGGAGGGAAGCATTCTAAAAACACAGAGATCAATACAAACAGCTTTAACACCAAAGATTGGAAAAACTTGTTAAGGATTGTCAGATGTGAAATTAAATAGTTCACATCCTCTAAAATACTAAGACAAAAACTGAAGCAAAACAGTAATTGTTGGAGTTAAAGGGGAAGTACTTAGGTGTGGCCAATTGAATGAAATAGAGGGAAACACACTGCTCTATTCAAATTGTTATCGAAAGGTCATTTCTAGGTTATGTTATGAAATCCTGCTGTATTGCAATTGCAATTTTGAATAAATTACTAGATAAGCACAGAGAAATGATATTTTTAAACAAGTAATAGGTTTATCCCATGCTGAAAAAAAAGAAGAAAGAAAACACAACGTTTCGGCCGTGGAGCCTTCTTCTGACACCTGAAGAAGGCTCACACCTGAAGAAGGCTCCACGGCCGAAACGTTGTGGTTTCTTTCTTCTTTTTTTTCAGCATGGAATAAACCTATTACTTGTTCCTTTGCAGCCTACGCATGCTGACGCAGCTCCCCACCTGAACTATTTTTAAACAATAATTTCTAAATAATTTCAAAATTCTAAATGAATTATTAAGGCTTTTTTTTTTACAATTGCTAGAAAATGAATAAGCTCACACTTGTCTAACCCAGCTAAAGCCAGAAAAGATCACCTCTGATTCATTTCACTGTTGCACTTGGTAATGCAAAGAATACTTCCATTCTCTCTTTCCCTTAATTTTCTCTCTTTCCCTACTTTGGCAGCTAGGTAAAACGGACGGATAGAAGTCCTTGTATCTTCCTCACTGCTGGACTTACCTATAGTCAAATTCTAGGCAGAGAACAGGCGCGATAGGAAGGGAGTTTTACTGGGGCACCCCCTCGTCCATAAAGGACAAGGCTGTCGGAACCCCCCAACCCCACTCCACGCTTTAACGAAGCAAGAGCGACGATGTACCGCGGGTGTAACAGAGCTCCCCAGTCCTGGTGCTGGAGAGCCGGGGTGTCTGCGTTTTTTTCCAGGTGTCTCTAACGCAGCAGCACCTGAAGAGCTGGGAGAAGCTGTTAAACGGGTCCAAGTAAGTAAACACTGAGTGTTTTAGGTCGTGCGGAGCTCATCAAGATCATAAACCTGCAGATACGGCAGACTGCACAAGTAGGACTGGACACCCCTGGGGTACGAAAGCGAAACGCGCGAGTGAGTCAACAAGAAGCACGATATTTACACGCCTGTGGGTGGACGTGGGCGAACACAAGATTGAACCTCCTTCTGACCTTTTATTTCAAACTCCACATGTTAATTACAGTACGTCAACCTGACCGTGCAAACCAACAGCACAAGTGAGATCTTCACTGCTAGAGGAAATCTCATCTAAAAACAGAAGGAGTGTTGCGCTAAAGGAGTCGTTATTTTTATGTGTCAAGCCCTGTGCAGAAATATGTAAAAAGACAGTTGTCTATTCCTAGAAAATTGAGGTTTAATTTAGTATTACATAGCAATGCGAACGCTTTGCCTGTTGGTTTGCAAATGCTTCGTTTAATATATTTGCATACAAGTTGTACTCTTTCAGGAATAGTGAGTCAGCGGTCGTGGACGTGTGATAGACCTTATTCTCATCCAGTAGGTGTGAATAGTGTTTCGGCACTCGACAACAACAAAAAGACTGAGGACAACAGACGGACCTTGTCGATCGCGATTCCTGGTGCAAATATTTTTCGTTTTTCATTTTCTTGACTTCACAGACTAGTTTCAGCAAAATAAAACAAATGTAACCTACTCAGAGCCTAACACTCAGTATAGGCATCTACAATCCCTGTGTAGACAGAACCCTCTGATATGATAAACCATTGTAATTGTCCATCTGTTATAAATGCAGTAAAAGACCTCTGTAAGATCGCTGGTGTGGTGAAATTCTCAGTGTTTCTACAGTTTCGCTTGTTGTTTCTAGTGTGGGGTGAGGTACTGAGGATCATGGTGATCATTTGTGCTGGTTAATTAATTTTAAGAACTCTCACCTTTTTGTTATTTTTGCCCCTTTCCCCGAAAAACTCATTTTAGAACTGGCATATTTAGATGATGCAATCAGTATATTTTCCAGAGCCCAAGACTCGCTTGTAAATTATTTTTTATTTAAGTTTTGATGACCATACACCCAGTCCAAGATCTAAGAACAACTTTCAATACGTGACAATCCTGTATTTAGAAAGCGACAGACATTCAACACCAGTGGTATAAATGCAATTGAATCGCAATCTGAAAAAAATAATAACAACTATCTCTTCTGAAGCACACACTGTTAAAATCGCTATGTATCCAATGAGGAGTTAAAACTGGACCCATACTTCAACATCTGGTGACACCTGCTACACTCTGAGCCATGGGCAATAAAACCATTGGAATTACAAACAAAACAAAACTCCATCAAGTCTGTCCAAGATCCTAGTAGCACCATAACTATGGCAGTGAGGCAGATAATCATCCATTTCAATATCTCAGTACCATTGAAAACCAATTTCAAACACGAGTGCTCGCAGATAAAGATAAATATGTACTGTAAGTGAATGGGAATGATTGATGAATGACAAGGTCTTTCAATCCTAAAGGAAAAAGCGTATGTTCTTGAGTGGATTTCTACTGCAGTTACTGCATTGCAGCAGCTACTCTAATGGTAATAATTATTACCATTGTTATATCATAGTATATTTTGCAATTATGCATGCAGAAGTATCTGCTTAGTGACCATGCATTGCTCTCTAAGGTAGTTTGGACAGCTTTGGACATATTTCTATATGCATTTTAACAATAATATTACAATTCACAGCTGAATTCTTTTCTGAAATTGGATTGATAATGTAATGTATATATGTAGTATATTGATCTTAAGACATTAAAGACCTGAACAGAAATATTTTCAGTTAAGGCTTATTTTAGGTGCTACATAAACTCTAGGAGTACATAAAACCTACCAAGGTATTTTTATTTCACTTATATAAATGAGGACTTCCCTCACACCTCACTGTTTATTTTTCAGATGGTTTCAGCTTGTGTGATACTCTTTTTTAGGGTTTTGAATCCCTAAGGTTTTCCTAAACCATAACTCATCAGGAAGCTTTGTTTGGGTTCACAGTCTGCTTCTTTTTAGGTTTTCAGTTTGCTTTTTGGGTTCTACTGCTACTGTGATCAGATGTAAGCCTGACTTTGTTCAGGCAGTCTGCAGAATGGCCTGTTGGTATTACAGCACGGCGATGCTATTGCAGGTTCTTCTGGAGTACTGCCCAGTGCAGGCTTGCTGATCTCTGTTCTTCTCAAGCTGCTATTTCTAGCAGGATCTTGGCATCATTTTGCAGCTGTTTTTTACTGATCCACTCAGTTGTAACATGGTGCACTTGGTGCTCATTCCTTAATCCTGCCAATGAGTTCCTGTGGCACACAACAGGAACACAGATTCTTAATTCCCTCACATCTACACTATTAGACATTGTGTGTGTATTGAAGGTTTTGCAATAATGCAAACATCCCTCAACATCCCTTCTTTAAAATGGTGTAATCTGCTAAAGGAGCAAAGACACTCCAAGAAACAAAAAATACCTTATATGTCATCTCAGCTGCCTCACAATGATTTAATATTCTGAACATGGGTATCCTTTCATATTTCAAAGGTCTGTTTTGAAGGGATTTTCAATATGGAAAATGCATCATTTGGGAAGCAGAGTTTTCTTCAGGTTTGAGCAAGAAGAAGACTACACAACTGAAATGTTGTGTTTTTTCTTGTCTATTTTTTATGTGGACTTAACCTCTACTCGTTCCTTTGCAGCCTGCACCCTGAAGCTGCTCATCACTAGAACCTGTGTACAATGACTCAAATTTGTTATTCAGAACTTAGGATGAACGAAAATGAGAAACGTGCCTTGTTAAGCCTAAGAGTTGTACAAGACAGATGTGGAGCATACTGACAGGGAGGGAATACAGTGTCATCCATAACCCAAACCAAACTTTAAAAATGTTTATTCCAAATTCTTTTGACATCTAAAAGCCTTATATTGACATAAAGTCAGACATTCTAGCAGTAAAACAGACCACTTCAGCATGTTTCAGTCTACTGCAGACTTTAAATGGAGGCTCAGTCTTCAGTGCTGTTTAAATTATTCATAATAATATTCAAAGGTTTGGATTACAGTGCTTTTTTCTGATAAAATAAAAACTGCTTGAGAACACAGGGCAAATGCAAAGATCTGTTACTGACTGTTATTTGTTTATTAAAGAAGCTTTTCTATTTTTCTGTAAGCAATTTAAAGCAGACCCAGTGGGAACTACATGTTAAACTCCATGTGTGGTTAATTAAAGTGTGTGAATAATTTACTGAGAACAAAGGTTATTGACAGCACTGTTTGGGTTAAATAAACACCAGGAGGCACTTTGATTATTAACCTGCTGGTGATGGCAAGGGGGGAGTGGTTGAATAATTGCTGTGTGACTGTACTGTACAAATTGAACTGTTCTTTTGTAGCTAAAAAACTGAAATACAGGCAAACAGAATAATGAAATATCCCCGGGTTCTATTTCATTTAATGTTTATTCAAAGTAATGTTTGTGCTAACCACCAAAAATAATTCGCACCTCAGTTAGACCAGACCAGATTAGTGGGTGTGCCTTTAACAAAGAGACACAAGAGGAACAACCAGAGAATGAGGGCGGATAAGGATGAACTTTAATCTTGAGTGTGTCATGAGTTTGCACCTGCTATATTTTTGGTTGTGGGCACAGACACAGGTAGGAAAAGTGATTTTTGTTTACTTTGACAGATAGTGTAGTTGACTGTGTGTGGCGTTCAAGTGAGGTCTTCTGTTCTCATCCCTGTCTCCAGTTTTGATCGGAACTGTCTATACATGATTCGCTGATCAATAGATTGTGAAGAAGAGGTGCTTTTTCATCTTGGTCATAAATCTAAGAAGAGGTAGAGATTTCTACTGATAACTCTCAATGAATGCAAATGAGCAAATGAACCAATAAACATTCACTTTCTGCTTCCCTCCCCCAAAATTCTGAATTGGCTCCAATGCTTAGACTTCAGATAAAAACTGTGATATCAGGATATAGCACATTTTACCCCAGACAAAATTAATTAGAATCTACTTTTCTGTACCGATTGCTAATACAATTGAAATTCATTTGTCACTTAATTTATTCAGAATACTTTTAAGAAAAAAAAACAATTCAATTATGTTACTGTTTCAACGGGCGCTCTGAGGTTTAATGATTCAAGAGCACAGGGCTGCAGCCATTGAGATGTGGTTTCTAGACGGGTCCTTCCTTTTCAGCATTAAGAAGATTATGATATTAGCGATTTCAGAACGAGCTGTTGCAAGCCTTTAATAATTAAGCTCGATTTTAACTACTTACAGTACTATTGTTGAACACTTTTAGGTTGTCTGTGTCTATGCCTTCAAAGATTTGAACACAGGGATCACATACCTGAATCCCCATGCCATATCATTACGAATACTCTCTGCAAAATGCTCAGGATCTTAAATAAAGGACATCAGCACCTTTTTTTCCATATTACATCAAAGCGTGACTGGGACTGGGTCTGGAGCTGCCAGTCCCGGTCCTGAAAACCCACACACCTGCTAGTTTTTGTTCTGCCTGGAGCCCTCATAAGGTGTAATATGAACTCTTTGTTTTCAGTTCCTAAACATGTAAGAAGTTCCTTTTAACTACTGTGTTTCATAAGTAGTGCATGAAAGGTCTCCAACCCTTCGTAGTAAAAAAAAAACTTGCAAACGTTTCAACCAAGAAATTGTTCAATTCCAAATTTCATTTGAAGCATTCATTGCTCAGATGCAAAGAAAAGCAGCATCTGTGTGGGGCACCAAGCCCAGGATTGTGTGCCCTGGCTGATTCAGTTAAATATTTTCTTTCATACATTGGAAATCATTTATTATATTTGATTGTGTGCCAGACTTCAGTATTACAGTAGTGAGTATCTGGATCAGGGACAACAGAAGCAAACTGCTACTTCAGATACAGGGACCATTATCATGCATCAGTGCATTCATCTACATTTTTTATCGTGTGGTTTCCTGGGTTTCTGAACCAAACCAATGAACAAAGACCAGCTTCATGTCTCTGTTTTAAACAGTATAAACAAGCTTAATATTTCAGAAATGTTAGATCTGAGAAGGCATTTTCATTCACCCACAGTGATGTTTTTGGTGGGTGGAAGTCTGATCTGTAATGTATTGGGATTCTGGGGTATCTTCTCTGTGAGCAATGTGGCACATGGAATAGAACTCACAGGCAACTAGGAAAAAGAGGAAAATGAAAAATGGCGTGTCAATAAGGCACTTTTCAGGTATCCCCCTTTTAAAAACTGCCTGCGCCTCTTCTCTCCCACAGCTGTAAAAAAAAAGCAGAGGACACAATGGATGATGTACACTGGGTGAGGATACTAAGGCTTCTCCTTCTCTCTGCGTGCTTCATACAGGGTAAGGTTCAAGAACACCTACTACTACTTTAAATCCCATGTGTGACAAATACCTCCAAGACTGTGATCAGTAGATTATGTACAGAGATAGAAACAGGGAGTGTGGGTGGATTTGCAATCGAGGAATTAAAGTATGGGACAATCTCTCGACCTTTTTGAAGTAGTTGAACTGGAACACGTAGAGTTTTAAGACTGTATCCCATTGGGTAGTGTACTGTATATGTGCTGTATCAGAGAGAAAACTCCTCTTTCACAGGACACTACAACAGTTAGAAACTGGATTTCCTCTTTTGCGTTTCCCAGGGCAGATTGACTGAAGAGTCTGTCTGCAAAGTACCATGTCCAGAAACATCAGATGGTTTACCATTTATATATCCTAGAATACTCAATCAAATACTCAACCCAGCAAATAACATCTGAGGATAGAACATAATAACTACAGATTTCTTTTCCTCTTGTTTGTTTGCTGTCCAGTAAATAAATGGGACCTCTCCCTGTTAAAAACAAGGCACTCAAGCGAGTCGATTGTGAGTAACTGGGAAGATTGCTTTATCTTCAAGGGACAGATTTGTGTTTTGCTGGGATGCTCAGTTTGCAGGTGTCACAGTAGGAAATTATGGATAATGGCCTTGATATACTCTAGGTTATACTCTACCTGTAGCCATGTAGCTACTGTACGTTATAATGCAATGTTTTTCTTTCAAACACGCTGGTCTATTCATGGATGTTTCACAGCTTGACTTGATTTCTAACCTGTCTGTTTGCTTTTACCTTTATGGCATCCAATAGTTCTGGGGGAGAGGGACTTCAGGTTTTGTGGCACGTGGCAGCACAGAAATGGACCCCTGCATCTTCAGTCTAACTTGAGGCGTGGCTGCAGCGAACTTAACATCACTGCAGGCAGTAGCACCCTGGAAATCAGTGGAGAGATCATGGGGCATTGCGAAAATTCAAGAAACATTTCACTGCCTGGAGTACAAGCTGCTGACGTGCATTTCTGTGTGTACTGGGATGGGTTCCTTGACCTTCTGCAGGTTGAATTCAGCAATATTAACTACACTCTGTGTGGACCCGGGGGTTTTCAAAAGGACTGCTGCACAGGACTGTCTCTAACTAGCAATATACGCTCATCTAGCAGCTTTGGGATTTCAAATGGGAGTATTCGTGGAGATGTAATAGAGTTAAAACGTCAAGACAAATACTCTTTCCGAGGAGAACAATCTAATTGTGGTAAGCAGATTTTTTATTGCAGTGTTTAACTACTGTACATCATGATAGTAGTAAGAGTAATAATAACAACTAGCACATTTCTTCCCTGGTGTGCCCCTCAATGCTCTCTGCAGCATATTTAACAATACCAATGCAATAATAATGAGCTTAACTGGAATGACATGTTACACAAGTATTTTCAAAGCATTATGCAAAATAAATATATGAGAATTAGAGAATATTAGCAGTGTGCATAATAATTTGCAGTACAATACAAGCCATGGGTGTACAACACAATACAGCACTGTATGTCACAGTGCAATCTAATGCAATATGCAGTACTACACCTACACTAGCATAGACCCTCTTATGGAAATAAAGCATCCCTATTAGTGGATTAAACACTCATATGAATGCAGCCACAGTGCCAAAGGTCTCTTTTACACCCACTATCTCCTGTAGCATCATCACAGAACTCACATTAGCTCTCTTCTGTTACAGTATTGAAAAGCAGTAAATTTGTGTTCTGTATAGCAAAGCCTGAGAAAAACATGTCATTGCCATGCAAATGGATGTCTAACTGTACAAATGGATGTTGTACTGAGGATCATTGCAGATGCATCAAAATGGCGTGTCAAATACATACTGTATTGCTCAATGCAAATATCAATATTTAAAATGAGAAACTGGGCTGATTCAGAGCTATGCATTCAATTTTTTTATTTTTATCACAGTCAAAGACGTCTGCAAAGAGGCAAGGCGGCAGGATATGAAGACATTAAATCGAGTTGATGTGTAAGTCTGACTATAGCTGTGTTACTGATTTCAATTTGGTGTTCAACGCCTAAACTGATAACAGTATGCAAAGTGTTAAAGCTTACGGTTTCCAAATTAAATGTCAAATCATCAAAGCAAGGTTAGAAACTAGTAATAGTCTTAAAACATCATGATGTTAAACCTGCCATGTGCAATAATTCTAAGAAGAAAAATTCCTTGAATTCCTGTTGTGCTTTTCATCCTGAAGTATAACCCAAAGTACATTATGCGTAGAAGGGGAACCAATTTATCCACCACAAAGAAGTGGACTCCTCATAATGTGTTGCACCACTACACAGCAGATCAGGTGAAGAAGTGAGAAACTGCTTAACTTATTAACCTGCTGTAGTGCTGGGCACCAATGTGGCACCAGTTTAAAAATCGCTTTGTGACTGCACAAAATGAACTATTCCTTTGTAGGTGAACTGCTGAAATACAGGCAAGCAGAATAATTAACTGATTGAATTAATAGGGAATGTCAGGCCAGACTACAAGCTCAAAGTAGAATTTATCCAGCCCACCAGGATTGACATTCCTTCTCTTTGAGATAATGCTACTGTATGTCATTAGGATCAAGCTGTCAGGACCTTGGTTTAACATCTGATCCAAGGGATGGCCCATCCCATAGCACAGTGTCCCTGGTTGGACATTCTGCTCCAGGGGGAAAGATTCCCTTACTGGTCTACTAACCCAGTTTTCCTGGTCCTTGGTATGTCTTGCATCTTCACTTACGTTTCTGGTAATATGCCACGGCATAATCACAGTGCAATGTCATAAAGCACAGTGAAGTAATGAAAAGCAGGGGATGAAGTGGTAAGGCAAAGAAGCATACAAATGTTGAGGGTCCAAGTCAAAACAGATCAAAATACTGCGGAAATGCACTTTACTAAACCTTCATAAGCATAAACACATTTTGAATTCCAAGGTCTCATATTTGGCTCTTCTGTAATTTGCCAGCTCTTGTTTGTAAGAACCTATGTAGTAATTCAAAGGTTACTTTGGAAAAAATAAAACTAACTTGTTCTTGAGGATTTATGAAGACCTGTTTGCATATCTGCAGATCTTTTTCTTCCTACCAACTACCAAGAAGTAATACAAATATCCACCAAATGTCTCTTAAATTATGTGCTCCTTTTATGTTTTTGCCCGAAAAGTCCTTAAAGACTTTTGTTTCAGAGGAACAGAGCTCCTCCGGTAGGAGCAGTTTTGGACAGTAAAAATAGTACAGAAGTATCTTCTCTTTAGAAAAGCTCCCAAGCTTCTCCAGTCAAATAGCAAGCTGCATACCTGGGAGCAAAATGAAAGTTGCTTTGGATGAAAGGGTCAGTTAAATAAATTAGTAAAAGGATCTGTTTTGTTCTGAAACAGGCAGCAAGATTCTTAATCAGATATACAGTAGAAGCGCCATATTGAATTGTTTATGGATTTTAACTTCACTCAATCTGCCCCAGAAAACACAGAGGAGCAAATCCAGTTTCAAGTTTGAGTCATACACAAAATGCTGAAATTAGTAGAAACATTACCGCAGACTCACACTGTCATACAGTGTAAAAAGATGAACCCAAATTTTCCAAGCTTATCTAACTTAAGAAGAAATCACCACATGACCGCATTTGTGTACAATTCTGGTTACCATGATGCAAAAAATCAATTGTTGCATTATATTTTTTACTTGCGTTATGTACAGTATTTTACATTATGTTTTCATGACAAGCAAACATGGATAGATATTGTGACAGTACAATATCTGTCCATACATTACAATGGCTAATGCTATCCTTGTACGTAATATCTTCACTAGTGAAATATTCTTCAGATGAGATTTTTGACCTGGGTTGTGCTCTGCTATGGGTGATGTACAGACTGTTGTCTATAGTACTTGCTTCACCACACTGTCTGTTAAAATGCCCCCAAGTTGATAGATGGACATACAGTACCTGTCACTATGACTAGTTTGGTTGCCATCAGTTTTCAAAAGGGTTTGTGTCCAGCGAACCTATGGTTCAGCTGTTCACGGTGACATCCCAAAGTCTCCAAGGCATTACCGTGAACGGATGTCCTCATAGATAACTAAATCATTAATCAGTCAAGTGTGTTTTCCAACTGATCTTTGAATTATCCTCTCTGTACACAAAAAAAATCCCATCTGAAATTATTAACCACATCTTGAAAAAATAATAAGGTAAAGATGCGTCTGATATTGTGCCTTGCAAAATATGTTATTCTATGTTATTTTTTACTTGAGTTATTTTTTTTAGAAATTTCTCATTTGTTTTCTGATGCAGGAGCAGTTCTTTTTGAAACTACATTTAGAACTGTGCCCTAGTGACTTTGTTATATACGTTGCAATGCATAGAGCCAGACTGACATCTTCAGACAGAATTCACACCTCTGAGATTCTGTGTGTCCCTCTCTGCAGGATAGAAGAAGCCCTAATGAAGGCAAACATCTCTGGAGCTGTGGACTTACAGTGTGCCACAGCTGTGGTCAGGAAGATAGAGAAAGATAAAAGCTATAACATCGGCATACCCGTAAGCACACAGGAGGTCCATTCGTGCCAATCTACATCACACTGTGGGCACCCAATGACATCTCACTGAGTTAAAGAAGCAAAGACGTTTCTTCTCTTTCTCTAGCAAAGGAACAGTTTCTAACACTGAATCACAAAGAAGACATTGGAATGAATAGAAACACGACCACAGACTCTGTGCTGTCAGATACAGTGAGGCCTTACTAAAAGATAAAGAACTGAACATTTCCGAGCTCTAACTTGAGACACTCCAGATGATTGTATTTGCTGGGCCTTGGGCTTCAGTGTAACTTGTGATGTGCTCTGTGTGGTAAACACTTCGGGAGAGTGGGAAAGGGTTCTTCTTTCACATGTAGCTAATTTTAGGTCAGGTAAAACTGTACCATTAAGCGAGGGCAAGGAGCTTCTAATATATCATTCAAGTCTCACTGTACAGTATACAACTCAATAACTTCATGCAAATATTTATGTTAATATAGCACATATGTGTGCTCAGCCACCTGATTTGCACATCATGTACATTTTTAATAAGGGTTAAAGCATGCTTGTGTTTGTTTCACACTGACAAAACACCACCATGTTCTTCTTATGATGACAAGCTGTTTCTTGTCGATTTGTCTGTCTGGACTATTCTGTGATGCAGGCTCAATGCCAGGCACCCTCTTGTAAGCCTCCTGCCATCTACATCCCTCCATCTCTGATGGCCTCAAAATCCAGAAAGTCTGCCAAGGTGGTCTGCACATACTACAATGATTTTCCTCTTTTCCAGGTAATTATTTTTTTATTTCTACTTGCATTAGGCTTAACTGATGAAAATTAGAGTAGTACTGTTGATTATTGTCAGCAATAGTAGCAGAAACAGAATGTTGAGAAAAACACCCCCACGGCTTTTTAGTCTTAAATTCTCAACTTATCATTCACGATTGTTGTATCATTCACTATTTTATATGGAAATAAAAGGTGCAATTTCTGTTTTCTGCAGGGCACCAACAAGAGCAAGATTCTCAACAGCGAGGTTGTGGGAATCACAGTGGAAAATGAAGTCATCTCTGATCTACATGACCCGGTTATCATCACCTTTCATCACTATGAGCCAGTGCCCGTGAGTTTTTAGGTCAACACTCTTTGAAGACTTTTAGTGTTTTCACTAAAGAGATTCACACATGTGTTTCTGATGACAAAGACTCATGCTACTTCCTCAGCTCTTGTGTGAAATTAGCACTTTTTGTGTTTTTGTGTAATTATTACAGCAACCCTTACACGTGAGAAATCTTGGCACATCTTTTTATTTGGAGGAAGTGACATACTGTATACCAACATCATCTTTTCCTACCTTCACAAGCGACATTATCAGATTAAGCTTTCACCAGCGATTGTACAGATCTGGGCTAAGTTGGTCCTGGTTTCAGGTGCCGACTGGAAACATCTTAGTTCCTGAAACATTGAAGCAACTTTTACTTAAGATCACCATCCAGAGTGCAACTCTCATTTTATGAGGAATGGCCATGTTCCCACATCATTTATGGATCAAAGTCTACTAACTGGACTTAGCAGATAAGATGCAGCCATCTGCACTATCAGTAAAAACCCCCACTATCATGATAAACTGAGAGCTGAGAACAAGAATAAAGAAAGTCAGTCAGTATGCATTATGGAAAGAAATATTTTTTCTGGTTGACGGAATGACAAACATCATTTTCATGCATGAGGATTAAAAAGTGAGCGACGAACCCCGGTTCTGAAGAATCACCCTCCAGCAGGTTGGATCCGCCACAATAAACTCACTGATTTCTGTCAAGCACTTCAAGCAGTTTAATTTAGGTTCTTTGTAAACTTTAGTTGATTAAGAGTTCATTTGAAATGAAAGTACCAATGCTTTGTTGTTCTCAAAGACCCCCAGTGACCATTTCTGACTTACCGTCTATGCATAAACTGATTTACCAATTGATCACTACTGTTATGTGTAAGAGTTATATCGTTACATATCTTTTCTATTGCTCAACATTTAGTTTTATTTACAAGACATTTTTAAAACAAAATAAACAAGTTGGTTTTATTTTACTTATTTTTGTAAAAAAAATAAATTAAAAACATTTAAAAGCTCGGCCCTCAGTTGATGCTTTGTGCTGAAACTGCAAGTACCAGACAGCCATCTAGTGGTGTCAATCTTATTTTAACAAACTTTTTTTTCTAGACAAATATGTCACGGAAATGTGTATTCTGGGACATGACGAAAGGTAAAAAACGTATTTAATAATCATTTAATAATATGAATTAAACATAGAATTCCAGAATCCATAAAAAGTTGGAATGATGCTGAAGAGATTCGATAGAGCAAATGTAACATTACTGATTTTTTTAAAATACTGCATCATTATCACAATCATTGTAATAATAAAAATAAAATGGCATTTTAATTTTTATAAGCAATTATTTATATCTTGGCCATGCCAAATTTCCTTTTAGGTCTTTTTCAGGGAATTTTGGGGACTGTCATCTTGTCTTTTAGTTCTCCATTTATTTTGAATTTACTCATGATTCATGTGGAAAGTGAATTGTGCTGAGCTATGCAGTGCATTATACTGTATGTG